CCCACGTCAGACTTCTCGCAGTCGTGAGCAAGCAATGGAGCACCCATATACAGGTACATATACCTACCTGTATACTGAATATGTCATAATTTGGATTTAAAAAATAAGAAGATAATGTAAAAACAACATTTCATGAACATGTCAGGGATGAAGCAGACAGAGACGGATCGTGGTGCGCCAAACTCTGGAAGTTTATTTAAGTTTCTCTCAAGTTCCAGTGGTTTCCATTGTTTCCTTCTCTCAGACAAAATGGAGTCAGTACAGTTTATATAGTCATTATCACGTCACACATCGAAAGACGTACGTGTCACACAGAGACAGTCACATCGTAGTCAAAATAATCAGAGTCCTTGTAGAGTCCTGCACGTAGGCCATATTGCTATCTAATACTAACAAACACATTTATATTAATAATAATAAGGTATGAGTTTCATATAGTGCTTCTCTGGATAGTCAAAGACGCTTCACATGTCATTATTCACCACTGTAGCCACAGCTGTCCTGGGGCACTCTGACAGAAGCGGGGCAACCCTGTCTGTGGCATCAGCCCCTCCAACCACCACCAACCGTTCACACATCCGCTTCATACTAGGGCAATGTGGGTGAAGTGTCTTGCTCAAGGACACAATGCGGGTCACTGTGGCACCTGGTGTTCCCAGAGGTCTCCCATCACAGTACTAACCAGGCCCTGTTCACAGCTTCAGAGGTCAGATGGGATTCTGGCTGGAGAGAGACCAGAGAGAGATCAAAGGTAGATCAGAGAAAGACCAGAGAGAGACCAGAGAGAGATCAGAGAAAGACCAGAGAGAGACCAGAGAGAGATCAGAGAAAGACCAGAGAGAGACCAGAGAGAGACCAAAGAGAGACCAGAGAGAGACCAGAGAGCGACTAGAGAGAGACCAAAGAGAGACCAGAGAGAGACCAGAGAGAGACCAAAGAGAGACCAGAGAGAGACCAGAGAGAGACCAGAGAGAGACCAGAGAAAGACCAGAGAGAGATCAGCGAGAGATCAGCGAGAGATCAAAGAGAGATCAAAGAGAGATCAAAGAGAGAGAGACCAGAGAGAGACCAGAGAGACACCAAAGAGAGAAAGAAAAAAATAGAGAGGGACCTGAGAGATACCACAGAGAGACCAGAGAGAGATCAGAGAGAGAGAGAGAGAGAGAATAGAGTCAGACCAGAGAGAGAGAGAAAAGAGAGAGATCAGAATGAGAAAATAGAGAGAGCTAGAGACCGGAGAGCGAGAAAAAAGATACCCGAGAGATGGACCAGAGAGAGACCAGAGTGAGACCACCGAGAGACCAGAGATAGAGAGAACAAATAGAAAAGAGAGACCAGAAATGTGACTCATCTGATCGCATCAAGTTCATGTTTTCAAAATGAACACAATCAAAGCGTTTTTCTAAACATTTATTATCAGTGAAAACGTAAGATATTGCTTCTTCCTGTCTCTGATCCTGTTTACAGCTGAAATGTTTTGACAGCGAAACTGGTTCAAAACATCAAATTATCCCCAGAATGAACCCTGATGTGATGAACATGTGCAGAGAGTTAGAGGAACATGAATAATGTGACTCAAAAATGAAACAGTCGCATCGCACTGACGCTGCGGAGATCAACAATCACTTTACTCAGAATGTGGATCATAAACGACAATATTCTGAATAATTGAGGAAGGATTTTACTTTGAGGAGGTCATGTCTCTCAGGCTAGTGCGGGTCGGACTGTTGTGGTGAAGAGGGAGCAGCGTCTGTAGTCAGAGCTCTCTATTTAACATTTAAAGCTGCACTAACTGACTTTGGGATTTTGAAGCCGCGGACCCGCTGGCCTCTCTCTTTCTGCTCCCCTCCCCGCACCCACGAAGCTATCGCCCCCACACACACCCACTGTTGGGACGGAGCTAGTGTCTCTCAATATGGATAATACATGGATATGGATTTGTACGTGGATGGCGTGACCATAGAACGATAGAACCGGGAAGCGCGGAGGAACAGGACTTTCTTTTGGATTGCTGTTTCGCTGAGTAAGCAGAAACCGGTGACGCAGACGCGGAAGCTTCAGGTCAGCTCCGCCGCTTGTTGTGCTAACTCAGCCGTCAATGCTAACGGACCTGTAGATTTCTCACAAAAGTGGGGGCCAGTGGTCCGCTGTGATTGGTCACAATCTGAGACCCGAAACACATTCTCTTCCTTGTTTCATCAAAACTCGATCTAAAATATAATGTCACGCCAGCACAAATCTGCGCTACTTTTTCTTCAAATGACCAAAAGGACGAGACCGCGAATGCAAGCGGTACCACATCCCATAGAGATTTGTCATACAGGGGGAGCTCGGAGTAGAGACGCTGCTACTCAACATAAAGAGGAGCCAGTTGAGGTGGCTCAGGCATCTGTTTGGGATGAGGCTGTAGATCTGGGGCTGTGGCTGTTGATCCAGGACTGAGGCTGTAGATCCAGGACTGAGGCTGTAGATCCAGGACTGAGGCTGTAGATCCAGGACTGAGGCTGTTGATCCAGGACCCAGGCTGTAGATCCAAGACTGAGGCTGTATGTGACGGGGTGAGCCCGTCCCTGAGCACGCTGTCCCACGGAGCGCATGTGAAGATGCGCGCGCCCGGTGCCATGGTGGCTGCGCGCAACGGCCAAGCCCATTCATTGACTACTGCTAGGGACTGTGTTTGTGACATGTAGCGTGCGTGAACGCGTCTTCAGGGTGCACACTTGGAAGCGTTGCATGGTGTGTTAAACATGTGTCATTCACTCGCCTGTGCTGGCGTGGTCGTGGCGTCTCCATGGTCGTTTGGCAAGATCCAGGACTGAGGCTGTAGATCCAAGACTGAGGCTGTAGATCCAGGACTGAGGCTGTAGATCCAGGACTGAGGCTGTAGATCCAGGACTGAGGCTGTAGATCCAAGACTGAGGCTGTAGATCCAGGACTGAGGCTGTAGATCCAGGACTGAGGCTGTAGATCCAGGACTGAGGCTGGACAACTGAGTGGTTGATGTGTCTATTACAACTGGTGTAATGACAATATAAAAATACAGATGATTTTCCAAAAAAGAGTGAGTAAATCATCACTGTGGATCCAAATGTATTTATCACTAAACATTTCTGGCCTGCTTGACTGAGTCCTTGAATGTCTCCATTGTGTTTTGAAATCTCTGAACTCTAAATCTTATCATGGCTGCGAGGTGTTTGGACGCACAAATCCGCTCCGATATTTCACAGCCAACTACATCTGACAATAACCACGGTGACGGAGAAAACAGGAAAAGTGTAAAAGGCCGTTCGGAGGGCAGAGATCGCGTCCCCAGAGACAGAAGCAAAGCCAATTCCCCCCCCCCCCGGCTCTCCTCCGTGATTTACCACCATCCACAGCCAGCAGAGGAGCTCCTATCTGGGCTGAGGTTTTTCAGGGAAGACCCCCAAACCACCGCAGTCCCCCTTTATGTGTCCCCAGACTGTCACTGCGCAAGTGCTGACAGAGATGCGGTTATTTACGGGCAAAGTTCATCCTAAATCTCCGATATCATGCGTTATTTCGGCTTGTAAACTGTGGCATATGTATGTATCACTGCAGCAATGTCGGGAAATAAAGTTTATACAGAGCTCAAAGTTGAGTTTTGAGATAGAGAGAAGCAGAGCGTTCAGGAAGTGATATAAAATATGAAGGGATTGGTCCAGTTTTAAGCTTCTCCAAACCATAAGCCAATATTTGTTGCATTTTGCCAATAGAAAATTTTTATTATTCTCAATATTCTCCAGAAATGAAAGTGTCATGCAGCTAAATGATGTTAGAGTATACATGCAGCGAAGGAACAGAAGACCAGAGAGACCAGAGGGACTAGAGAGAGACTAGAGACAGACCAGAGAGAGGCCAGAGAGAGGCCAGAGAGAGGCCAGAGAGAGACCAGAGAGAGACCAGAGAGAGACCAGAGAGAGACCAGAGAGAGGCCAGAGAGAGACAGGAGAGACCAGGCAGAGAAAGACTAGCTACCAGACTAGATACCAGAGAGCTCAGACAGAAGACTGAGGCACCGAAAGAAGGCCAGAAGGTTGAAACGCATGGGCATATTTTAACCTCTTTTGCCATGTGAAATAAAAGCTTTAAAAGATTTTTGTAACTTTTGAGTGCCTCAGTCTTATGTCTGAACTTTCAACATTGGTCCCTCCACTGAAGAGCTTTTTTCCTTATTTCATTTTTACATCCAAGAAGCAATCCAGCCCCGTCTACTGTTTTCAAAAAGATACCAGAGAGAGGCCAAAGATATGCCAGAGAGAGAGAGACTAGAGAGAGACCAGAGAGAGACCAGAGAGAGGCCAGAGAGAGACCAGAGAGAGACCAGAGAGAGACCAGAGAGAGACCAGAGAGAGACCAGAGAGAGGCCAGAGAGAGACCAGAGAGAGACCAGAGAGAGACCAGAGAGAGACACTAGAAAGAGACCAGAGAGAGACCAGAGAGAGACCAGAGAGAGGCCAGAGAGAGACACTAGAAAGAGACCAGAGAGAGACCAGAGAGAGACCAGAGAGAGACCAGAGAGAGACTATATATTATAAATAGGGCTCTTTCTTTCACAAAAATATGTAGTTTCTTCAGACGATGTACCTGAAGAAACTGGACTAAAGTCAGGACTAAACATGGGGAGGCAGCATTTCAGATTAATGCAACTAAAATCTGGAGTAGTCTTCCTGAAAATGTGAGACAGGGTTCCTCTCTGGCAACGTTAAAATCCAGGTTATGGATCATTTATGATTTTATTTTCTTGTGTGATTGTTTTGTTTACTTTGCGTTGCTTTGTGTATGGATTGTGCAATACAAATAAACTTCTGATGTTTATGCTAACAAGGCAAAAGAAAAGTCAGGTACCCGACTTTAATTAAGTGTCTATGTAACATGTGACTATGACAGCAGTGCACCTGGTCTGTCCGATGTTACTGGTGTGTCCATATCAAATACATTAAATGGAGCTAAAAACAACGAGAATGCTAATGATACTTTTGCTAACTTGTTGCCCTGGCCTCCCCTCTGCCCCGTGTTTGTCCTGGAGGCTTCGCTGCGTGAGGAGCCGCCCTGTGATTGGTCACATCTGGTTTCGATCGGCCGCCGCACAGATCGGTGTAAATCCTGAGCTCTGCGTTAATCTGCTCCAGACCTGAACGTTCAGCGGAGTCAGATGTGAGGACCAGAGCCACACCGGGAGAGAGGGAGGGAGGGAGGGAGGGAGAGAGGGAGAGAGAGAGAAGGAGAGAGGGAGGTAGGGTTAGAGAGAGGGAGAGAGAGTGAGAGAGGTCAGAGAGAGAGAGAGAGAGGGTAGAAGGAGAGAGGGAGGTTAGAGGGAGAGAGACGCCACAACGGGAGAGTAGGAGAGAGAGAGAGAGAGAGAACGGCAAGAGGGAGAGAGAGAGAGGACACAACGGGAGAGAGTGAGAGAAAGAGAGGGAGAGAGAGAGTGGGAGGGAGGGTTATAGAGAGGGAGAGAGGGAGAGAGAGAGAGAGAGATTTTAGAGGGAGAGAGAGAGAGGGAGAGAGAGAGTGAGAGTGAGAGGGAGAGAGAGATTGAGAGGGAGAGAGAGGGAGAGATGTTAGACGGGGAGAGGGAGGGACAGAGGGAGAGAGGGAGAGAGAGAGAGAAAGAGAGAGAGGTCACACCAGGAGAGAGAGAGAGGCCAGTGAAAGAGAGAGAGAGAGAGAGAGCGAGAGGTCACACCAGGAGAGAGAGAGGCCAGTGAAAGAGAGAGAGAGAGGCTACACCGGGAGAGTGAGAGAAAAAGGCCACACCAGGAGAGAGGGAGAAAGAGAGAGAGAGGTTAGAGGAATAGAGAGAGATAGGTTAAAGGGAGAGAGAAAGAGCCCACATCGGCAGAGTGAGAGAGACGATGAGAGAGGCCACACCAGGAGAGTAAGTAAGTAAGGAAGTAAGTAATGTTTATTTATATAGCACATTTTACAGACCAAGGTCACCCTCAGCACTTTACAATGTTCAGAAATCAACCCAACACCATCCATTCAATAGATGTACATGTTTTTAGTGGTAGGGGAAACCGGAGCACCCAGAGGAAACCTACACAGGAAAAAACCACAAACTCCACTCAGAAAGACCCTGTTCTGACTGGGATTTGAACAGGACCTTCTTGCTGAGAAGCGAAAGTGAGAGAGAGAGAGGCTACAACGGCAGAGCGAGAGAGGCCGGAGAGAGAGAGGCCAGGGAGAGAGAGAGGCCAGGGAGAGAGAGGCCAGGGAGAGAGAGAGAGGCCAGGGAGAGAGAGGCCAGGGAGAGAGAGGCCAGGGAGAGAGAGAGGCCAGAGAGAGAGGCCAGAGAGAGAGGCCAGAGAGAGAGAGAGGCCAGGGAGAGAGAGAGGCCAGAGAGAGAGGCCAGGGAGAGAGGCCAGGGAGAGAGAGAGGCCAGAGAGAGAGGCCAGAGAGAGAGGCCAGAGAGAGAGAGGCCAGGGAGAGAGAGAGGGCCAGAGAGAGAGAGGCCAGGGAGAGAGAGAGGCCAGAGAGAGAGGCCAGGGAGAGAGGCCAGGGAGAGAGAGAGGCCAGAGAGAGAGGCCAGAGAGAGAGGCCAGGGAGAGAGAGAGGCCAGAGAGAGAGGCCAGAGAGAGAGGCCAGGGAGAGAGGCCAGGGAGAGAGGCCAGGGAGAGAGGCCAGAGAGAGAGGCCAGGGAGAGAGGCCAGGGAGAGAGAGAGGCCAGAGAGAGAGGCCAGAGAGATAGGCCAGGGAGAGAGAGGCCAGAGAGAGAGAGGCCAGAGAGAGAGAGGCCAGAGAGAGAGAGGCCAGGGAGAGAGAGAGGCCAGAGAGAGAGGCCAGGGAGAGAGAGGCCAGAGAGAGAGAGGCCAGAGAGAGAGAGGCCAGGGAGAGAGAGAGGCCAGAGAGAGAGGCCAGGGAGAGAGAGGCCAGAGAGAGAGAGGCCAGAGAGAGAGGCCAGGGAGAGAGAGGCCAGAGAGAGAGAGAGAGAGAGAAAGTGACACCCGAAATAGGGACACGAGAGAGAGAGGGAGACCAGAAAGAGAGAGAGACCAGAGCCAGAGATACGGACAAGAGAAAGCGAGACCAGAGAAAAGCACAAGAGAGAGAGACAGGAGAGAGAGGGACCCGAGATGGACAAGAGAAAGACAAGAGAGTGATAGAGACCAGAGAAAGGGACAGACCGGAGAGAGAGAGACAAGAGACAGTGAAAAGAACTAAAGCTAAGTGTCATGTTACAGCAGTTATATGATGTAGTTGGAGTGGTCCCACGCTGCATGAGACGTTAGATGTAAAACATACACAATGCTGGTGCAATTGAGTGACTTGTTGTACAGTCTGACAGCTACATCCATGTTTTTTTTTGTTTCTTAAATGTAGCAATGAATGTGTCAGAAGTGTAAAAACAGGTTCTTTGGAGCCGGGTTTAACAGGAGACCACTGCAGGATTAAAAGCAAATTAAAAACAAAATTAAAAATAAAAACAATAAAAACCTAAGCTAAAACCAGAGGCTAAAATAGGCTAAAAAACCGTCCTCTTCCCCTCGCGGTGTCTGGCTCCCTCCCCTGCTTCCTGCTCCTTGCTTTACCTATCTATCTATCTATCTATCTATCTATCTATCTATCTATCTATCTATCTATCTATCTATCTATCTATCTATCTCTTTCTCTATCTCTATCCTCTATTTATTTACCAATCCATCTATCTATCTATCTCCCTCTCTCTGTCTCTCTATTTATCCATGTATTTATCTATACAGTATATATCTCTCTCTCTTTATCTCTCGCTGCTCTCTCTTTTCCTCTCTATCTCTCTATGTATCAATCTATCTATCTATCTCCCTCTCTCTCTCTCTCTCTCTCTCTCTCCCTCTAATCTTTCTAATATTGCCACCGTACAGACACCAGCTGGGATCGGACCCTCCTCTTCTTCGCCGTGTTCAAAGATAGGCACATTTCCAGCTGAGTTTTTTGGGGGAAATCTCCGAGACTCCGGTGAACTCTCGTTTCCAGATGTGTGCGATCGCTCCGTGCCAGACTCTGGGAGGAGGTGCACGTTGGCCGCGGACGAAGAGGCCATTGCTCATTTTAATGTTTGGAAGTTTATAATGTTCTCATGCCTTCCCCATCTGCAGCAAAGCATCGTGGGAAGAAGAAGACATGGCTGCCGGTCTGCATTTTTACGGCTGACCTGCGTGAGCTCCATCTCGGTGTTCGTAAAGGTTCAGATTGGGAGTGACAGGTGCTGGGGACGGATGGGGAATAGTTTTAATGCTTTGAGCTTTAACTTTATGTAAACATCTTTAGTAGTAAGTCATTTTATCTCACAAATGTGTTCTTTTGACGACGGCGCAGTAAAATCTTGTCAAGGCCTCGTCCCATCTCAGAATCATGTTACTTTTCCTGATGTAGTCCGTGCTCGCCCCGGCTGTAAAAAGCTGCAGATGAGAAATAGCGGCTGTGAGTTATGTGAGGCTTCTTTAACTTTATGACATCTGCGAATAATATGAATAATACCTCAGGGGTTATGTATTCAACAGGGTTTGTCTGTCTGTCTTGGCCTTCATCTTGCTCCCTTTTTATATTGGTGTGTGTTTGTGTCTCTGTGTGTATTTGTGCATGTGTGTGTGTGTACATGTGTGTGTGTTTGTGTGTGTGTGTGTGTATGTGTGTGTGTGTGTGGCATCCCCCCACGTCCACTCTCTCTGGAGTGCTTTGGTCACGTCCTAAAATGTAGTTTATAGAAAACCAAAGGATTTGACAAGAAAAAAGTGACACTTAAAATCCCCTCAAACGGTTCTTTGTCAGCTGAGGTCGAGCTGTTTTAGTTTACATTGAGTTCTATGGGACTTTTTACCAGTACCGGCTGGTAACCACACGGCTGCCCACTGTGCCCGGTGGTGGGACAGCCATAAGCTAGTAATACCCTATCCAGTTATTATTATAGATCCATGGGCATGTCCCAGAGGAGTGACTTGGACTCTGTTCTAGAGGGACGCTTGTTGTGACTTTGCCTTTATTTGGTCTAATTTCGGCACTTTTTTTTTTGTTTTTTTTTCAGACAGTTTGCTTTTTTTGAGACAGCAGTTGATGTTGTTTTCTTTTCTGTAATACACTTTTTGTCCTTTGTACATTTTTTTACCCATTTGGTTTCTGTTAGGACGGCGATGCTCCAGGACATTTGTTCTCATTTCTGGACAGTGGTCATCCCGCCTCCTATGGACCAAGACCTCACCCTCACCCTATGTGTTTGGTTTTGCTGCATTACCTGTGTTTAAACTGCTTGATTCTCTGATCTGTTGTTGACGAATCCACAACTTTGAAAAGTCCTCTGAGATAAAAATAAATAAATGAAATGAATGGAAATGGGGCTCTCACAGAAGTATATAAGTACTATAGCGTTACCCATACATTCTCTCACCTTCAGTCATAATGACCCATAAGACAGACTTTATGTAAACCTGTGACTTCACGCGTGTTCATTTTGGGCTTAAACCTAATCTCTCTCTTTTCTAATCTGGGTTTGATGGATGGCATTTTTAAAAAGCGTGTGGAGGTGTATTTTTAGAGGCTGACGTGTTCAATTGGATAATTATAGCACAGAGCGGAGAGAGGACAGACAGGTTCTCTGTGGGAGGCTTCCAAATGAATCACTCCCCAAAAGCTAATGACCTCAGATCGCGCTTTTGAGGATGATGTCAGAGGGTCAATCATTTACGATTAGGGCCTCGGTTGGATGATCAGAGCTTTATGGGCGCACAAGCAGATACCTGGAGTTCAATACCTGAGTGTGAGTTTGAAATGACCAAAATATAACTGGGAAATAAAATCCATGTCAATAGTTTTCACGTGCATGTATTCTTTTTGTCTCTGTCTTTATAATATTTTTTTCTGGTCTCTCTCAGGTTTATCTCACTTCTAGCTTGTCTCTCTCTGGTCGTTCTGGTCTCTCTCTGGTTTATTTGGTCTATCTGGTTTCTCTGGTTACTCTCTGGTCTCTCTCTGGTCTCTCTCTCTGGTCTCTCTCTGGTCTCTCTGGTCTCTCTCTGGTCTCTCTCTGGTCTCTCTGGTCTCTCTGGTCTCTCTCTGGTCTCTCTCTGGTCTCTCTGGTCTCTCTCTGGTCTCTCTCTGGTCTCTCTCTGGTCTCTCTGGTCTCTCTCTGGTCTCTCTCTGGTCTCTCTGGTCTCTCTCTGGTCTCTCTCTGGTCTCTCACTTGCATGTATTTCTGGTATCTGTCACACCTTTAGATCAGCTTCAGAAAACTAGACAACCCTCAATAAATCCAAAGAGTCAAATGACGACTCACACAGGACTGAGGCTAGGACAAAGGACTCACTGTTTCTACAACTGTTTTATTTGTATTTGTTAAAAGGGAAAATGCAGAATCAGGAAGTGGGAATTCATTATATTATTATTTTTCAGTTTCAGACTTTTGCGTGTTTCAAATTCCTGAAGTTCATTTTGCGCAGAAGAAGGAAGTAGTGTCATATGGCTCTTCCTTTACAAGCATGCAGTAGTTAAAGTGTGAAGTTCTCAGATGGGAGGTCATGTGACATCTCCTCATAAACTTTCATTACACGCACTGGAGCATTCATGTGACATCACAACACTGTAAAGAGCCTATAGTTTAACATTGTGGTGGAGGGCAGCTACAATAAATCATCTTTGCAAATGTCATAAGTCAGATAAGTCTTAGTTTAGAGCTCATTTCTCTGTAATCCCTGGAACCAGACCGGGCCTTTCATTTGCATGTTCTCCTCATGTCCATGCAGGTCATTGTGCTTGTCCCATTGGCAAATTTTGTTTCCGGGCTGTCAAAATATGCTCAAATTAAAGTACATTTTGCCAAATTCAAGCAATGTTTTACTTATTTTTCATAACATTTTGGGGTGCAACTGTGGCTTGTGTTTCACAGAAAGAAGGTCCTGGGTTCGAGTCCCACTCCAGGCCTTTCTGTGTACATGTTGCATGGTCTCCCCGTGTCTGTTCCGGTTAAACTCTGGTTTTCCTTACCACTAAAACGTGCCCATGGATTTTGGTCGGGGGCTTTGGAGTGAATGGACACATACAGTATCTGAACTCTGAGCAATGAAAACCTTGTCTCAACCTTGGTGTGTAAAATGCGCTCTATAAATAATGATTACTCACTCACTTACCTTTTTCACTGTAGATACGTAGTTGCTGCTGTTCAATATTTCTCTCTATATATTTTAATTTCTCTGTTCTGTTGTTTGCAAATCCACAGCTTTGCAAAGTTCTCCGAGGCGACAGCTGCTGTGATTTAGAGCCGCATACACACAAACACATAGAATTACATTTTTTGAAAGTTACTGCACGTACCCCAACGTATTGGCTGAATACATGGATGTTTATGGGTGGAATCTGTCACTTCACTTGTTAAATGGACTCGTGGGTCTGTGATAACACCACACAGCTCTGATCCAACTCTCCCACTTACATTTTACCGGAAAGAAATGTCCAAACACGGCGTGGACATGGACTGACTCCTTCATGAGGGAGGAGTGCTGTCTGAGAGGAAACTATGAGGCCACATCTGTCTAATACAGTACAGTACGCTACACTTAACGTTGTTTTTTCCACCATGTTGTGTTCTGTGTTCTCTGCAGGAGGTTGCAGGTCCATCGGGGAGTATTCCTGAGACTCCGTTCAATCTTCATCTTATCTCCGAGTTGCGCTGAGGGTCCATTCACAAACGAGCTGTGAGAGCGATGCTTCAGAGACAGGGGATTATTCACTCCTAACCAGAGCTGGACAGGATCACAGGGACGGCGCATGTTTGTATCAGGATCTACTCGGCTTTGTGTGATGAGCCAATGTGTGGATGTGGATAATAGAGCAGGATTAAACATGTTTCCTCTGCGTCTAATATCGCCCATGTGTTTAAGGCTGCGGTACTAGTCTCTCCATGGCCTCGTGCCAAAGTACATCTGTGACATGTTAGGGACTGTGAGGAGAACAGGGACTGGCCTCCTGCTGGGACTCTGAGGACCACAGGGACTGGCCTCTTGCTGGGACTCTGAGGAGCACAGGGACTGGCCTCTTGCTGGGACTCTGAGGAGCACAGGGACTGGCCTCCTGCTGGGACTCTGAGGAGCACAGGGACTGGCCTCCTGCTGGGACTCTGAGGACCACAGGGACTGGCCTCTTGCTGGGACTCTGAGGACCACAGGGACTGGCCTCTTGCTGGGACTCTGAGGAGCACAGGGACTGGCCTCCTGCTGGGACTTAAGTCAGGACTAAGCATGGGGAGGCAGCCTTTCAGATTTATGCAGCTAAAATCTAAAAATCACAAAATGTGAGACAGGCTTCTACTGCAACTCTTCTCTGATAAAGTTCGATTCCAAGTTAGAAACAGTTAATCTGCAACAACTGAAGGTTTGCATCTTGACTCTTTTTAATGTACTGTGATTATTTATAATGTCAAAGTCTCATGTGAATGTTTTTGATATTGTTTCCTCTGAGGCAACTCTGTTGCTGTGATTTAGGGCGATACACAAATACTTTGAATGGAAAAGATTTTTTTGCAGTGTCAGAGAACACATAAAACCTCAGAAAACACAAACATGTCAACGCTCGTCTCGTTCTGCTGTGTGTAAATATATAAACAAGAAACAAGAGCCAGACAGACACCAACAGTGGGTCAACATCCAGGTCTCACGCCCCACGCTTAAGCAGCGTCTGACAACATGAGCTGCTGCGGCTGCCTCCGGCGTGTCCCGATCCGCCGTAATGAGGTGGCTAATGAGGAGCAGCTAACGATTTAAACACGGCTTAAGTAGATGATGTGGCTACAGCCTCAGCTCTGCTCCTGCCTGTCCAGCCGTCTGACCCCGCCCACTCACACCTGCCCCGCCCAAACAAAGGCAAAACAAGGATTGCATTACTCACAAGATGTTTGGGGACTCTGGACAGGAGTCGAATGAACTCAGTGGGAAAGATGCAACATTTGAAAATACATTCCTTAAAAGAAAAGTTTTCCCAGATCAGTATTTGATAGTGATTAGATTCACAAAGCCGCCTTATAATTTTCATGTCTGAGAGTCTTTTATACTGGTCAGA